GAGAGAGGGGTGTGGGAAGAGACTGAACATAAACTGTGCACCTATGGATGAGGACAATGGAGGGTGGGGAAAGGGCAGAGGGTGGGGTGGAACTTGGTGGAGGGGAGCAATGGAGGGGGGGGGAGGAATGAGGAACATTTGTAATAATATAAATAAAGATTTATTTAAAAAAAAAAAAAGATAACCACTTTACTCCTATATGCATACTTCCCATTTGTCATGAGTATTAAAAAATGTATATGCAAGAATCTAATAAAAGTTTAAGGACATTAAGTGAAAGCGGTCTGGTTTGTTTTTATGTTTGGTGCCACTGCCTTGATTTGTGCTAAGGCACCAGCAGTCTTACCTACCATTACTATAGCACCAGCAGTGCAAATGTCAATACAGTGAAAATGACAATACTTACTTAGTATTACGGTACTATAAAAATAGTTGTATTTAATCTCACACACACCCTAGGGTCTATGGACAACATTTTGAGAACCACGACTCTAAAAAAACTAGAATGTGTGCTCTTTTCTGCACCCATTATATCCACAACTCAAAGCTGTTCACACCACATATGTCTGGGGAATTCCCGCTCATCTTTCCATGTCCTGCTATAAGCATTACTTTCCTGTAGCTCTCCCCAACCTCCACCACTGTTCCTCTCCCTTAAAAGATGTTCCTTCAATGCTTGCCATTTTTATGATGATCTCTCATACATACTCATTTGTAGCATATGCCCCAGAACATTTTGCACCCCCAAGACTGTAAGTTCCTTAAGGGCAATATAGGCCAGTATGTCTCTGCAGTTAAGCAGTGACCCAGGAACCAAGAAGATACCGGATTGGATCCCCAGGAAGGGTGTGTGCAGGAGGCAGCCATAATGTTCCTCTCTCATAAATGTCCCTTATCTCTCTAAAATATCAACCTTTTAAACACCGTATTTAAAAAAATTCAAAACTACATCGTATTCATCTTCAAAATCCAGAACACCCTTCCTCTTTCTTAGAAAATACCAAAGAAAACAAAGTGTCAGAGTCTCTACAGTGAAGAGATGTCTCCATAGTGAAGATGTTCCTTCAACGGTTGCCATCTTTATGATGATATGATGATGATGATGATGATGATGATGATGGACTGAATGATTTGTTATCACAATAAGTCAGTAAAAACTTTTTTTTCTGGTAGTGTTTGCAAATGGAGCCACTGCCATCAGCTGATTAGATATTGGTGGCACCTCTTATATTAAAAAACAAATTTTCCAGTTTCTCTTCATCTTGATTTTGTTTCTGAAATCACATGTTTCTTAATGAAAGCACCCCAACTATAATTAATTCAAGAATATCCCAGAGAGCGGAAACCGGTTTGGCTCAGTGGTAGAGTGTCAGTCTTCGGACTGAAAGGTCCCAGGTTCGATTCCGGTCAAGGGCATGTACCTTGGTTGCAGGCACATCCCCGGTAGGGGGTGTGCAAGAGGCAGCTGGTCGATGTTTCTCTCTCATCGGCATTTCTAGCTCTCTCTCTCTCCCTTCCTCTCTGTATAAAAATCAATAATACATATATATATATATATATATATATATATATATATATATATTTTTTTTTTTTTTTTTAAAGGAATATCCCAGAGAGCTAATCACTCTTGAATCAGACCTAATCCCCTCACAGCCGAACTCAACCATCACTGTCCAAGGATCTTTCTGACTTTTAGGCAAGACAACCACAAGAAATTTAATCATGTTCTGCCAGGGAACTGGTCTGACCACCTCTCCACTCAAACCAACTCCATACTACTTTGTTTGAATCAACCTTCTTTAAATTACATTTATAAATACTGCTTTTCCATACTCAAACTCTCTTAGTTCTATTGCTTTGATCTTGTGGATATTTCAATAATCTTTGGCCAATAGCAAATAGGTTTAACGAACCACATGAAACAAGTTTGCACGATTTCACAGTTTGCCCTTATAAAATTATCGAGGAAATGCAATGAGGGTGGAGTGCAGCAGCAGGAGACGGGGGACAAAACTGAGGAAGTGTCTTACCGGTCATTCCAGTCGTCCCCTCGACGTCTCTCATCTCTTTCCCGCGAACGGTCATAGTCGCTGCGCTCTCTCCTGAACTTGTCCCTGCGTCTTCGGTCGTACTCGTCATCACTGTCACCCATGGCGCGGTCTGAGGAGGCCTGGGGCCCAGAGAGGGTGCTCAGGGGTGTTGGACAATGACGAGAAGATGACAAGCTCGCCCCTCTGGAGCAGCACACCCGCCTCTCCCCGCAAATGCCAGCCTTCCGCGGTCCCCGCCATCCTATCTTCTTCCCCGGCGGGTGGACCGTCCCCACACTCCACTCCCACGCCCCCCCTCCCGCCTGGCTCTCCCGCCCATCCCCATCGGCTCCGGGCGCCGGTCCCTCCCTCCGGCCTCAGCCCCGCTCCCAGGCTCCTCCCATCCCCCCACCTGGGAGGGTCGCGACCGTTAGTCTCGCACTCCGACGTACTGGTTCTCTGGGAGACCTGCGCCCGCCCCTCGCCTCGGGCGCGCGGAGAGGACCGGGGAGAGGGGGAGAGGGGGATACGGGCTCTCGGCTCCGGGGCCGAGGAGACGCTATGAGTGCGGGGCGGTCGAAGATTGAGCGGTCGGCGCGCGCTGCTCGCGCAGCGCCTGCGTCACTCGCGGAACTGCACCTCGAACTACAAACTACTACCTGAGCGGCCCTAATTGGAACCAAACCAGAGAAGGAAAGGCCGGGAGCACAGGGGGATGATGGGAAAGTACGGGGAAACTGGGAAACCTCGCGATATTTCCGGGGCGGGATCTGCGTAAACGTAAGGAACTACGGAGGGTGCGCTGGGCCAAGCGTAGCCTGGGGAGGGCGGTAGAGTCCTTTGGACGTGGAGGAGCGCTTCCTCAGGCCGAGGTCGAAGGTCGCACTCACCCGGAAGTGTCTGGTTCTGGACCGAGGCATTAGCCCGCCTTCACTTTGCTCTGAGTATTTCAAGACATCGGGGTGGTTCACCACTCCCCTCGCGTGGGGCAGGGGCTTGAGGAATGCGGGTGTTCAGCGGGGTAGGGCAACCATTTTAAGCATTTCCCACCATTTTGTGCTCCCACCCGAGTACCAGCTTTTGTTAGTGCCTAGTATGCGCTACCTGCAAAACCCATTATTCCCACTCTTCTTCGGTAAAGGTGCCCCTTTTGTAAGTAATACTGTCAAATCTCAGTCTCATCCCCAACTAGTACTTTGATGACAGAGTTTGTAGATTGAGATCTTGATCGACAGGCATTATCTAGCTTGCCCCAGAGTAAATGCACTGTCACCCCAGGAGTAACATCAGTGGGTCAGTGGATTGTTTGGTGAGTGTGAAGATTTCATAGGAAATGCTGCCTCCCTGGAGCATACTGCTGCCTTACTCCCAGCACTGAAAGGAGGGGTATCTTTACAGCAAACTACATTAAAAAGAGTGTATACAGCCCAGCCTGCATGGCTCGGTGGTTGAATACTGACCTAGGAACCAGAAGGTCACAGTTCGATTGCCAGTTAGGGCACACGCGTGGGTTGCTGACTTGATCCCCGGTGTAGGGTGTGCAGAAGGCAGCCAATCAATGATTCTCTCGTCATTGATATTTCTCTTTTCCTCTCTTTGAAATCAATAAAGAAAATTATATGTGTGTGTGTGTGTGTGTGTGTGTGTGTACAGTCATCCCTTGGTGTACTTTAGTATCTGCAGGGAATTGATTACAGGACCCCCAGGGTACCAAAATCTTCAGATGCTTAAGTCCCTTATACGAAATGGCATAGTGTTTGCATATAACCTGTACACATCTTCCTATATACTTTAAGTCATCTCTAGATTATGTAAAATGTCTAATACAATGTAATGCTATGTATATAGTTCTTATACTATTTAGGGAATAATGACAAGGGGGAAAAAAACTCTACGTGTTCACTACCAGATGCAACCATGGTAGCCCTAACCACATAGTACACGTTAGCTAAATGTAACTGTTTTTAAAAATATATTTTATTGCCCTAGCCGGTTTGGCTCAGTGGATAAAGCGTTGGCCTGTAGACTCAAGGGTCCCAGGTTCAATTCTGGTCAAGGGCATGTACCTTGGTTGCAGGCACATCCCCAGGGGGCAGTGTGCAGGAGGCAGCTGATCGATGCTTCTCTCTCATCGATGTTTCTGACTCTCTGTCCTTCTCCCTTCCTCTCTGTAAAATCTCAATAAAATATAAAGAAAAAAAGAAAGCTGTCATTTAAAAAAATATATATATATATATACACACACACTTTTTTTTATTGGTTTCAGAGAGGAAGGGAGAGGGAAAGATAGAAACATCAATGATGGGAGAGAATCATGGGTTGGTTGCCTCCTATATACCAACACTGGGGATCGAGCCTGCCACCTGGGCATGTACCCTAAGAATCGAATCATGACCTCCTGATTCATAGATCATGCTCAACCACTGAGCCACACCAACCAAGCTAAATGTAACTTTTTTTCTGAATAGTTTCTATCCTCAGTTGATTGAACTCAGAGATATAAAGGGCCAATTGTAGCAGAGTTGCAAAAAATTGGACCAGGGTCTAGCTGGTGTGGCTCAGTGCTTGAGTGTCAACCCATGAACCAAGAGGTCACTGGCTGCATTCCAGTAGGTGGCATGCAAGAGGCAGCCCATCGATGTTTCTATCTCTCCATACCTATCCCTTCCTCGCTAAAATCAATAGAAACATTTTTTTTTTTTTTTTAACAGAACTAAGAAGACCTAGATTCTGCCACTTGGGAACCATGCAGTCTGGGGAAGTCACTCCTCAGCTAAAAATGCGGACAGTCACAACAGTTATGCCTCGTTGGGCAGCTGTGAGAATCAGATGAGACAATAGACTTGAAAGTGTCTTGTAAACTCTTGAGAGATTATTATTTCATCATTGGAGGAGGAGGAGACAGTATTTGGTGGCAGAGTTGTAAAAGTAGATGGGAAGGGAGGATGCAGCAGGTGCTTCTGGTAAGACTCAGCAGTCAGTGGTGACGGTGGCTGAGAGCTCCTGGATCCGCCAGGCACTGCAGGCCTTGCACAAGATGTGCCCATCAAGGGGGTAGCAGCCCTGACATTCACCCTCAGAGGAGAGCAGCAACCCGCACTCCTGTTAAGAAAGAAGCAACAGCTTTCCACCAGGCCAAGACCTCTGGGTCCTACTACACCCAGCGAGCCTAGAACCCAAGAACTCCTCTTCCCCTGGCCCAGGCCCCCTCACCTCACACTTGTAACAGCCAATGTGAAAACTGCGATCCAGGGCAACAATTCGCACGGTCTCCTCCTGACCTGGCTCAGGCATGATGGCCCCACCACACACTGAACATCGTGGAGCAAACTTCCTGGGGTACACAAGAGAACCAAGGGGGTTGTCAAGCCCCAGGGTTGGAGGAGACTAGCAATGGAGCCCAGAGGAGGTGGGGTGCAGGAGAGGGATGACAGGACAGGGATGAAAGCGATGTTAACCAGAACATGGCATGGCACAGGTGGGAAGCTGGAGGGGCTGGTACTGGGACAGGAAGAGATGAGAAAGATTGGAAAGGCAGACATCCTGAGACAAAAGTGGGGGATCCGGCCTGACCTGTGGAAGTCCTCAATGCAGTGGATCTGGCTGGTGGCATCCACCGTGAAAGGAATGCCATCAAGCCCGCGGTGGCACACCACACAGGTGAAGCAGCCAGGGTGGTAGGCCTTCCCCATAGCCCGAAGGATCCGGTCCAGGATGGGCTGAGAGCAGGTGGAACACTTCTCCAAGGTGGCCTGTTGGGAAGGAGGGCAGGAAGGTTGGAGTCTGGGGAGGACCATGGCAGCCCTACAGGCACCTGCCAGCCCACCCACCTGTTTAGCCCCCTGCATGTGATTTAGTGAGAGATGGCTTTGAACAGATCTGAGTACAGAACTCATCACTGCAACTTCTGGGACAAGGTATGTAGCCTCTCTGAGCTTCAGTCCCCTTCAGTATATGCCTTACAGTGTTCACAAACTCCCTTAACTCTAAAATAAATGCCTCACATTTGTAAAGGGCTGTTGTCCTTCCCCTTCAGCAGCCAGTATTTAGCTGCCTAATTTCTCCCTCCTTGTATATCAGTTTCAAGATGAACTGAACCTGTTCCTCATGGACATCTAGTTTCCACCTTGGATGGAAGCCCCTGCCTCTTCTGCTGACCCAGCCCCGAGTCTCAGCCACTCACCACATAGCAGCTCTCACAATACGCCCTCCTCTCCACGGCATAGAAATGTTGGCCCCGAAGCTGGGCACGGCACGTAGAACACACAAAGCAGCCAACGTGAAAGACGCGGTCCAGGGCGACAACCCCGGCCCCATCCCCAACCACGTCTTCTCCACAGCCCCCACATCGGCCTGGGGACAGGGAGGGACAGGGTCAACCTGCCTAGGCCAGGAAGCCAGAGCTGGTGTCCCTCTGGCTCTCCGGTCCCCCACCCTTGTCACCCACCCTCACACTCAGCTCACCGAAGTACTCCCCGCTGGGCAGGTGGCTCATGTCATGCACCAGCTTCTTGGTCAGTCTCTCAAGCTCCTCCTCAGGAGGCTGGCTCAGGGGACCCTGGGGGTTGAGAATCAGGAGTTTGGCACTACCTCTAGCTCTCAGTGCTGTCAAAATACCTGAGGGTGACCAGGGAGTTCCACCCAGAAAGCTCATTGGAGCACATCCCAGGGTCCAAGGGCATGGCTTAAAAAGCTAGTGTGACTCCAATCCCCTCCCTCATTTCCTGACCTGCCCCACACCCCTGGGGGGAGAAGGGGAAGTGCGGAGCTCTGACTATCCAGGTCCTTGACAACCAGGACTTAGAACACCACCCCCACCCCACGCAATCAGTGTCCAGGTGTCTGAGGACTCCAAATCCCATCCCCGGGGCTTACCTGGTGCCCGTACCCACTTCCTCTTCCAACTCCGAGAGGACTGGAGCTCCCAGCAACCTCCTCTTTACTCCCAAGCCCTGGCTCTCGGTGGCTCCTATAGCCAGCCCCCCAGACGTCACCTCGGCCTGGGAGAGGAAAGTGGGGGCCCAGCAGGGGCCCTGAGGCCTGAGAGGGTCCCCCCCTGGGAGGGCCACAGCCTCGCACGGGCTGTGCCACCTTCACTTGCACAGGAAAGGCGGGGCCGGCAGGAGTGCTGGCGGTAGCATAGGAGGCTGGAGTGGGGCCCCCGTAGGGGGATGCCGGGAGCAGCGGCGGAGGAACACCCCCTCCATTCGGCTTCAGGGAGCCTGAGCCAGGGCGGTAGGCAGAGGGCGGAGGGGGCTCGTAAACCTGGGGAGAAAGGCAGACCAAAAGGGGTGAGCAGGCCATTATGGGACACGCGTCTGTGGAAACCCACCCCCACCCATGTGTGCGTCACCCAGGTGAGGGCTGGTTTCTGACAGGGGCCCACCCTTAAGTGGCTGACAACCCATAAGCTCTGGTGGCCCAGCTCCTGAGCCGGTGTGTGCATCGCTTACATAGAGAGGGGGCGGGCGGTGGGGGTGTGCAGGGTGTGCAGGGAAGGGATTAGGCTGAGGGAAGGGGGACAAGGGAGAAGGGACAGGGGAAGAACGGGAGGGTCACCTGCCGGTCAGGCCGCCGTGGGGCATGACCTCGACCCCCATCCAGCTCAGCCAACATGTTGGTGAGGGAATCTATTTCAGCATCTAGACTTCCTGGGTGCAGCCGCCCCCGGTCTGGGGGGAGTCCCTGGGGATAGAGCAAAAGCAGGGAGAATGCAAATCACATGGCCTCCTCTCCTGCCCAGGGTGCTATGCACACCCCGGCTCCCCCCCCCCCCCAAAAAAAAAAAATATCTGGTTCTTACCTGCGAGCGCTGGGGTGCTCCACGGCACCCCACCCAGTCCGGCCCCCGGTCCTCCAATCCCCCGGGGGCCTGGTAACACTGCTCCGGTGGGACGGGGCAAAAATTGACCCTGGGGTGGGGCTGGAGTGCTGGGATGAGTTAAAACAGAGTGAAGATGGGGATGGGGAAGGGGATAAGGGTGACATTTGTGGAGGCTGCCCTCTCGGGTCCCTCTTTCCTCCCCCTTCATCCCACCCACACCCACACCTACACCTGGGATCGGGGAAGGAGACCGGGGCCGTCGCGGGGGCAGGGTCCCTGGCTCCAGCCCCGCTCGGGGAAGGGACGGCAGGAGCCGGCGGGGCGGGATGCGCTCGGGCTGCCTTACCCGCTCGGTGGGCTGGCGGCGGCCCGGGGGCGCCTCGGGGGAGAGCTCGCCCCGGAGAGGCTCGGGCGGGCTCCAGTTGCCTTGGGGGGAGCCAGGTGGGCCCCGACATGGCCGGGAGCGGGGGCTGCACGCAGCGGTCAGGTCCCGCGGGGCCCCAGGACTCCGGCCTGCAGCCCTCCTTCCGTCCCACTCCTCGGCTGGGACTCCAGGAAAGAAACTTTTTCTGGCTTTTGAACGCCCCCTTCCTCCCTAATTTGAGGGAAGGCCACGCCCCCGGTGATGTAAGCACATTCCTGGGGGAGGGTCACGTGGCCCCCCTAGGCTCTAAGCTGCGTCCCTTCCCCCTTCCCTTCTCCCCCTCCCCCAAGCGGGCCCCTGCTGTCCAGAAGGGAGGCTTTCCGCAGGAGCCCCAGCCCGGGGCCGGCGGGCGGCCTCCGTCCCCACCAGCCGCCCCAGGCTGCCACCGCAAGCCCTGCACGTGGCCTCCTCGCCCTGGGACACTCCAGAGCTCCTCTTTCCCACATGCCCGCCACACAGGCCTCTCCCTCTTCCCGCCCCACCTACCTACCGCCACCCCCACCAGCAGTGCTCAGCCACAGCAGTTAGTGTTTTGGTCTTTTATTCAGTTCAGCAGTTAGAAAAATAAAACAGAACAAAAACATCACAACCTCAAGGGGTCAGTGAGTCTGTCAGGTGAGGGAGAGACTGAGGTAGCCTAGAGTCTCGAGCAGAGACCTAGCCCCCATCAAGGCACCGGTGAGGGGAAGGAGGGGGCAGAGCTGACTCCCTCCCCTGGCGTGGCAGGGACGCCGCCCTGCATAAATTAGTGCATCAGGGCCCCTCTCCTAGAGACCCAGAGCTGCCCTAGCCCAGGATCCCCTAACGCCTCTGCCTGGCCATGTGCCCCATGTTCAGGGCAGGAAGGAGGCAACCCGTCCCCTCCTCGTCTACGAAGGTGGGCTGCCAGACTGGCCACTCTATTCAGGAACGAGGCATCAGAGATCAGTGCAAGTGACAGGGGTGACACCATGAATGAGCAGCGTGGGGCCCAGATCTCGGCTCAGAATCTCCAGCAGTGCCAGGTAGTGGGGGTATCGGGCGGGATCAGCAGGTGGCCGTGGCAAGTACAGAAAGGTGAGAGCCGTGGTGGGCCCCTCCTCCCCATCCCCCCCCTCAGGCCCACCAGGGCCTCCTCTGCTGCGCCCTTGCTGGGCCCGAACCAGGCAATTGGCACTGCATGCCAGGGCCTCTGCCTCAGAGTCTCCACGCCTGCTGTTCACAAAGTCCCCTTCCTCCTCCTCCTCAGGCTCTCCAGACCCAGCCCCATCACCCCACACCACTTCCTGCACCTCAGCCCGGATCCTCAGCTGGCTCAGCAGTGCCCGAAGGCGCCCCTCAGCAGCCCCGGGGGCCTCTTGAGGCCCAAGGCACAAGAAGATCCGGAGCCGGGCACTGTGCCAAGCAGGTACCATGCCCAAGATGGTTGCCATCTGCAGCAGGAAGAGGCCACAGACGTCCACGTAGCCGGGGCCACCCCGAGGCCGCAGCAGGTTGAGGGGCCACACATCCACATGATGCTGCTGAGAGCTACTGCCAGACCCCCGACTCAGCCGCTCAGGGGGCAGGGCCCCACAGGCCCTTGCCAGAACCACATTCTTGTTCATCTTGAGGGCGTCTACCACTGTGGCCACGTAGTCCTGAGGACTTAGAGAGCGGGGGCTCCCAGGAGCCCGGGGTGGAGGGAACAGGGTGCTCAGGGCTGGGGACCCGCCCTCCTGGGTACCATCAGCAGGCTCAGAGAAAGCCGGGTCTGTCAGGAAGTGATCCTGGGGTACAGCATCATCGTAGAAACCCAGGACCAACGTGTTGGGCTTCATGCCACCTGGGGGCAGAGAGGGGGAGGCAGGAACAAACCAACAGGAATCAGACTCACCGGCCGAGTGTATACCACGCCATACGCATTCACTCATACCTGCTGATGGCAACACTGGGTGTGACATTTGTTTGTGCTGTGCTTGGGTTCTTAAGGCAACATTATGCAGGTTTGCATAATGCGTTTTAGTTTTCCCAAACACTTTCTCATGCATTTATTTGATTCATCTCCATGACTAATCCCCCCATTTAAATGGACTAAGTTTCACCTTAGGATTCTTTTAACTAACAAGCACTTTCAGTGGCAGTGAGATGTATTCACTCCAAGCTTCTAGCGACACACATTTTTCATGATGGGCAGGGAAAGTGTGACTCCACTGGGCACACCGGACCCCTGATTAGTCAAGCTGATGGCCTCGATATCCGAGGAAAACGGCTTGCAGACTCTGCTGGGGGAGGGTGAGCACTGGGTGCTGCACTATCTGTTTCCCTAATGATCGCATGTCCAAAGCATGATCCCCGGGAAAGGGACAGCTGCCTTCTGCACGCTAACCAGGGGCCATATCCTGTTGAAAGCACTTTGTGTTTTATTTAACCCATCAATCCTTGAAGCAATGCTATTTCATAGGGGCTATTTACTCGCTCCCTTTATAAATAAGGAAACTGAGGCACAGAGCAGTGAAGTCGCCTGCCCAAAGATTCGTGGCTGGTAGATACACAACTCACTCAGCACCAGAGCCCATTCTCTGAGCCACTGGGCTGGTGTGCATACAACCACAATGCCCCAAGTCCCTGCCAACAGCTCCTGGTTTTTTATTTTTGAACAACCAATGTGGAATCAAATAATCCCCCCCCCCTTAAAGAGGGCTGACTCTGAGATCTCTCCTAAGATCCTTTCTCTTGAAACAAATGAGTTGCCAGGAGAATTTGTTTAAAGGAAGTCATTTTGCTTTTATTTGAATCACTTTCTGCAGGATAAATTTCCTAAAAGTAGGTCTCTTGCTTGGCACAGATTTCCCCACAAAAGAGATCAGGCCCTCAGATGCTCCAGGGTCTATCTCATAATGCTTGATAGCATCCCAAAACACCTGAACTCTAGCTGATCTTACTAGTCACATCAAACTAGTCACACCCCCTCTTGAGCATTTGCCAGGGTTTTGATTTACACCCAACAGGGCAATGTCCAACACTTGATCATTAGCCAGGTTCTAAGTGGAGAAGGAATCATGCACTCAGAGGAGGCACAGAGGCCAGTGCCAAGATTAAGAAAAAAGGAGGCAGCTGAGCACAGATTTGGAAGAGGCGGGGTGCAAGGCCAGAGGCCTCAGCACTACAACAATCACAAGCTGGGAATCTCCCCCTCCACCCAAAAGCATCAGCCGCACACACCCTCCGAATCTTTGTGGAGGCCATGTTACAGACCTCCCTACTTCTCCACCCCTCTCAAGGCCCAGCTGAGATACACTCTCATTAAAAACCCTTTGCTGGCCACGTAAGTGCACGCTGGTCTTCCTTTCTCTGGACTCAGGTGGTTAGAAACCATCTGTCACAGATTTGGTGGGGCAGCCCCAGCTTCAAATATTTCCTTTGTCCCCAGAAATACAAATACAGGCTCCTTGTCTTCAGAGCCTGTGCCCCAATTTTTGGATCAGAAAAAAATAATGTGTCGCCCAACTCTTCCAAGACCCGGTCACATACTGTCTCATTATCTTTGCATGCCACATCTTATCTGCATTAGATTGTGGGTTCATTTTGGGGTTTGTGGTCTGTAGTTTCCTTTCTTTGGAGGGAAGCAGAGACTGAAAGGGGCCACAGAGGGGTCCGAGGGGACCCAGGGAGGAGCAGCTCACCGAGGCCTGAGATCCGCAGCAGGTGCTGAGCCCCCTGGCGCACAGAGGGCGAGAGGGTGAGGTCCACAAAGGCTTTCACTTGGGCCCGGTCCACAAGGCTCAGCCACGCCCCATACTGCGGCTGCACAGGGTCCGAGGGCAGGCAGTCTACGAAGAAGGAAGGCAGCAAATGGGGGCCAAACTCAGGTTCTTTATCCTAGAGTCCAAACCCCATGTACGCAGAAGAAAAAGTTTGGGCAGGGCCGTGTGCTGGATGGGAGGGTCATCTGGGAAGAAGCACGAGGCCTCTGGGACTCAAAGAATAACAAGAAGCAAAGGAGAAGTGGAGGGCAGCTCACCAAGGTCCCCCAGCGTGACGTGGCCCAGCACGTAGAGGCCTCCCTTCTTGAGCTGGTTGGCCAACCGAAGCAGAGGCAGGGCGCCCCGGGGGTTCCCCACCAGAAGCAGCAGCTGGGGTCTCCAGAATTTCACATGGTCCTTCCGCACGTCCAGCCGAAGCAGGTATTTACGCACCTAGGGACGGCGGTGGGGGAGGGGAGGAAGGACTCAGCTGGGCAACCCTCACTCAGTGCCTACCAGACAGGAACCCCGGCTCTAGCCAAGGGAAGAGGAAGCTCTTTGTAGGGTGGGCTCTCCCAGACGGCCTCCTCCCCTCCCCACCCTCCTCTGAGATCCCCCAACCTGGTGAAAAAGCAAGGCCTGGCTGACGTAGCCCCAGCTGCTGGGACCGCCTCGAGCTGTGAGCAGGGCACAAAGCAGGCCCATGAGCAGCAGGGAGCCGCCTGCGGCCCCAGGGCTGATGAGAAACATCATGAGGAGGCAGGAGGCTACCCCCAGCAAGCAGGTGTGCCAGGAGAACAGGCTGAAGGTGGGGCTGCAGGTGGACAGAGAAAAGGACACTCAGGGCCAGCCCTGAACACCAGGCCACTCCGTTCCATCCCCAGATTTACCCCCCGTTGGTCCAAGTCCTTCCTATTCTTCCTCTTTTTCAGGGGACACAGGCATTCTCTCACCGGAAGTTGGGGGCTGAGGCCCACTCCAGGCTCAGGCAGGACAGGTCCACTGCAGCATAGGCCACCAAGTAGAAGACAGTAACCACAGCCGCCAGTGTGTTCAGCTTCCCAGCTAGGAGCACCAGCTGAACAAGGACCAGAAGGCTGGGCATTTGAGCTAACTCCCCACCATGACCTACTCCCCATCAAATGCCAATGCATCCTGCCTTGTCATGTATATCTCCCAGCCCACAACGTAGATCCTCCTGATCCTGCAAACACACCCAGCGAGGGCTTAGGGTGATGGGAAGGGCAGGCTAAAGAGAAAGGCTTACCTGTACTAGGGCCCATGAATACAGCACGGCTCCCCAGGGGTTCCCCCCTTGGGACACTAC